CACCATGACAATTGGAACTGAAGGGTCAACCGGTAACTTGAAATTAGATGGCCTAATGAAGATGGGAGCAAAGCTGAAATTTTGACTTTTCTCCAACGGAACTGCATTCTGTTTATTTTTTAATGCGCTCAAGATGTCAGTACAAAACCTATGTGCTTGTATAAAGAGCAAAGCTAATTAGATGTGCAAGGAAACATAACAAGGACTTGAATTGTGACGACACATGTATAAGATCCTTTTAGTACCTTCATCCAAGTCGAACACACTCCTTTGTGAATCCGGCCAGTGGGAGTTGGACCATAGACTAGTGCACAGGTCACATGGACTCTAGCAGGAGCAAATCTACAGATGACAAAAAATGGTTCCATCAATTTAATTCACCAATGCTGAGGCCAAGTATACTGCACTTATGTTTTATGGATTTGTAAAGTTCTATCTGCCACAGTAATCAGACAAGACTACACACCGAGGAGATGACGAGATTGAATAGTAACGAGGCTGTAAACGAGGGGCAACCGCTGCAAAAAATACACCAAGAGGAGGCTTTGCCGAAGGGAACTCAGCCATTACTTCAAGAAGACTTCTTTGACTTGCAACAATCCATGCAGAATACTCATCCTGATGAAACCAAAAACAAGGGCATATTAGTGTGTCAATTTAACCTCGTGGGTTTACCCCCACCCAGAGAAAGTCCACAGAACTACTTCCTGTCAATGGTGAATCAGCAATATAGCCAGAACAAAATGAAAGAAGATGGAACCGCATAATCAGAACTACTTCATTGTTAACAGAAGATTAACAGCATGATCAAAATTACTTCACCTTGCCCTGTGGAGATGCCAAGAACTTAAGCTTTTCTGCTTCACTAGGTTCGGCTGCATGAGCAGCCAATGCAATCAAAGTAGTCTGAAAACACATAATTTAGAATCTCCAGTAAAGCAATGCAATATTAACCGCTATAATAAGTAAAATGTAATATCTTATGAAGACAGACCTTCCGCGGAGGATTCAGAAGATCTGCGTAACGTGCAAGTGCAGCACGCAGTGTGCAAGGACCAGGGAAAGGTGGGGGCAATGAGCCTCCAAGAGCTGTACCGTCCTCCTTGTCAGTATGAATAGAGAATATTAAGTCTAATGACTGCCCCAGCAATCTCGCAGCTTCCTCAACAATTTCTTCAGGATTTTCAGCATAAACACCCACATGATCTCCTGTTTCATAGCTGAGAATTGGAAGAAAATGATGCATTACACCACAAAGCTTATATACAATCATCATAAGCACAGGTATGCAACAAAAGGTACAACAGCTCACGCACTTCATGAAAAATGATAGACAAAGAGATAGATTAGCATAACCATCCATGGATAAGAAGAGTAAGCACACAACAAGCAATTGAACTCTAACCATGCTAATTTGTCTTCACTAACAGAAGATAGAAAATTTTATTACAAAACACCCGCATAAAATATAGAGAAAGATCTAGTTCTTATGGCAAGCCATTAAAGGAGAGGGAGCCACCAAAACTACCCCTTAGACCTTCCTCCACTAAGAATAAAGCCTTTCGGTCAGCACATGCAGCGAGAAAATCTTTACTGTATCTTCAACACATTGCAAAGCATATCAAAGTATGAATTTGCTCTATATGTAAACTGTACCGATGGGACATTTTATGACTTATGATAATAAGATAGAACACTTCGAATAGAATGGCACGCGTGACAGAGAAATCCTTCGTTAACTGCTTCACCTACCTAAGACCTTTCTCTTATATTTTGGCACACAATATCATCAACCATATAAACAGAAGAAATGTACAAACTTACGAAATCCCAGTGCCAGATATATCAAACTCCAAATGTATACATGAGCGATCAGAATCGGGTGTGTGAAGCTCTCTTTGAACAGCAACATTTACTCTGCAGGTAAAAAAGGGAGAACTATCTGTAAGAAGCTAAAAGGCTGAATCAAAAAATAGAATGCTCATTTGATTACTTACTTGCATGGATGGTGGATGTCATACGAAGTATTTCCATTAGCCATGCGGGCATGCTTATCCTCATGAGTCGACGTGGTATCATGGATAACCAAACGATATTCAGAAATTGCAGCTGTATATGGAGTGGCTGCAGAATTTGCATCATCCTCATCTCTAAGTATTTGATCCAATTCAGGCCACAGTTGTTCTCGCCTAAGAACACAAATCAAGGTAAATAACCAAACACCAAACTTTGTCTGTTTGTCCCGTCATATCATCTCAGAGATGCATAAAGAATGATTCAAATAACATAACAAATTGAACAAACAAAGAAGGGTCGGTTTAATTACCAGGCTGCAAAATCATCTTCAATGCACTGATCATCATCGCCAAGGCCAACAGGCACAATACGTTTTGCACCTGTGATACAGTGAGTCCAACTAAGGTATGAACTAGTTTGTATTAAAATGATCATCACATGTTAACAAATAGCAAGAAAGTGAACTTGAGAATCGGCTGATAATAGCTTTTCAACAGAAGCCTCTGGGAACAAAATATCTTCATAAAGCGCCTATAACTGAAAAGTAAACTGCACCAATCTTCACTTAAAGAAGTATAAGATTGAGCATATCAGGACTATATAACCCCAACTCAAAAGACAAAAATTAGGTGCTCCAAGAAATGCCAGCAAATTAAAAATCATTTCAAATTACTAACTCCTGGTAGTTGGGAAATGCATAGAATAAAAAACAATCGCGATTACACAACACAGTCTAGTTGGGTAAAAACTGGAGGCATAATTTATTTGGCAATATCATCCAACAACTTTCGAGCAGATGTTTTCTTCGTATGTTGAAAGTTGACGCAAGAATGGTAGAACATATGCCATAGTGGAAAGGCCATATATACACACCTTGTTCACTTAATTGTTCATCTATCACCTTCCCAATCTGTTCCAAAAGATCTTTGTCAGATAACAAAACAGGAATGTGGAAAAGACAGTAACAAACATCTAGCAAATACCTTGTTAAAATGTTCATATTGGCGATTACCCAATCCAAAAACACCATAAGTAAGGTGCTGCAGCCACGTGCCCCGTTCTTGTCCCTAAACATAAAACACAAATATAAGGTTCCATGCACAAAAATAAGAAGTTGCTCTGAAAGAAGCGTATTGAAAGTGCAATGATGCTCATAACTCCTTTTTCTACCTCAGTGAACCACTTGTAAAACCTTGCAGCATTATCAGTGGGCTCGCCATCCCCATAACTAAAGTATCAGGTGTAAGAATGTAAGGGTTTGCATGAACTGTCTTCTTAAGTTAAAGCAAATAGAAAACCAAAATTGACAGATGCCAAATGAACATATCTCTTACGTTGCCACCATGAAAAATGCTACTGTCTCTTTCTTCAGTTTCTCCTCATACAGATCATCATCGGCAGCATAATCATCCTATGGTTGAAGGTTATGTTATCAGAGAAAGGAGACACAAAGCAAGGAATTCAAGATATATCACTCAATTCGACTTACCATGTCTACAACTTTCACTACTGCCTTCTCATATCTTGCTTTTATCTCCTCTGATAAAGCCTGACAGGAAACATAATACTAAATTATTGATCAAGAACATGCAGACCACCAGTCTTTAGACTGAAATGAGCATGCAGAAAAGATGAGATTTTTGGAAAGCCTCTTGAAGTGGATACATGACTGTGCCACATCTTAGTTACATAACTTATGTTGCTACTGCTATGTGCCTTAGGGATGAGAATTCAAACTTTCAAGCAAGCAATTTGATATTTCCGTCATGCAGAAAGACCAGGATTTTTAAAGGCCTTGCTGCAGTAGACAAGGCCAGTGGCAGACTCAGTTACATAACTTCATCTTGGTTATGCAACGTGCATTAAGGATGAGAATTCAAACTTAAGCAGCAGCAATTTGCTCATTAAGAAACCGAATCACGTTTAATTGTAGAAATAGATGAGAATCTTCAACTATAGAACTGTACTGAATGCAATAGTGTACATTTTCATTTAAACCACCAATATATAATGGAGTAGCAAACCTGAAAGCAAGTCTAAAATGTAACATGAACAGGCACTAGCAATAAGTTAATCAAAATTAAGTACTCCAGAGCACCCAATAGTTACACCATTACTAATTTCACATCTTATATTCAAGATCCATCCAAAGAGTTTGATTTTAGAAAAAA